AATTCCCACGGGAAAACACGTTATAATAAACTCAAAAAATATCTCTTAAATACAATTAAATACGTGTTTTAGCATTTTTCGAAATTCATCCTTTATGGGGGTAAAATAGGGGATGAAAGGTTGTATGAAAACTACCTTTTTAGTTTTTTTTTGTAGTTTTAGCGCGAGCGAAGCCGCGTGTTCTGCTAGTAATTTATAGATAAGCCATACTAATATTTAAGCTTATTTTTAGATCGACACAGCCTAGATCACAGGTCGAAAATAGTAAAAATTAGAGATAAAATTCCTAACAATATGTGCGATAGCTCATTGCCCATTGGCTTCGAAATGACGTCTAGAAAACTGTGTTTATGTCGTTTTTCAGCATGTACAATATTGCAAAAGTTATAAATAAATAAACCTGAAAAAGATGGTATTCAGTTTTTCGGTAACAATTCAAAAAATATTAATAATTAATAAATTAAAATAAAATCCTAAAGAGAACGAAACTATTATTATAAAGAGGAAAGATTTATATTCTTGTATGTTTGTAACGAATAAACTCAAAAACTACTGGACCAGGTTTGGGGGGAAATGGGGATGACAGTTTGTATGGTGAATCAACCTAGAGACGAACCCGAGCGAAACGAGGGTGAGTCGCTAATTATTATTTATAATTTAACACTAAAATAAGGCTCCAGCGGCCGATGAGGTGTGCGCGCATCGACTTTAAAGCAAGGACATCATGTAAAATATTTTTTTTACAGTATCAAATGTCAATTTAAAATTTTTAATTAATGATGTATTGTAAACACTTCAAAGAATTTAGTCACGTTGGAGAAAAGTTGTTAAGTTAATTTTTCGAAACGATGGCGATTTTTAATCAACAAAACGTCATTTATGACAACAAAAAATGTTTAAATAATTGTGCTATAAATTTTCGCATCTTGGAGCCCTTCACTTATATACTTATCAAGATCACGTCATTAAAGTTTTTGAAATTCTATTTTTTTTGCATTATATTTTTTTCGAGTTAACAAAAAATTAAATATTCCAAAAATATTGTTTGAAATAAATATGCAAATGCTGTAAAACCCTTGGCCCATGGAGTCAAAGTGCTAAACACTTCTTAAAAGACATAACACCTTGTCTTCTTGCCTCTACTGGTGACAGGAGGGCAAGCTTTTTCGCTCAAAGAATCGACATGGACATTCAGCGGACAATATTTTTTTATCTATATAAATAAAAATTAATCACCGAAATGTATGTACGCGCATAACCGATCGACTGCACCAGATTTGATAATTCTTTTTTTTTTGTGTTATTGTCAGGACAAACTTTGTATAAAAAAAACTTAAAAGAAATTCTTTTTCTTACTAAAATAAGATTTTTTTAAATCTCACGATATGAAAAGTGAGTGAGTGAAATAGTTTTAATCCCGGAAAACATCCCTTAAGGGGGTGAGAATGGAGATGAAAGTTTGTATGGGGAAACAAGCTACATACTAATAGTTTTTGATTTTTTTGCGAAAAATGAAATACTCTTTTTTCCTTTTTATTTATTTATAACTTTTGCAATATTTACGTGCTGAAAAATGATTTAAACACGTTTTTCTAGACGTTATTCCAGAGCCAATGGGCAATGAGCAGCGATACATATTTTTAGGAGCTTCTAATTTTCACCATCTTCAACTTGTATCTAGACTAAGTATTACCTACACGTTTAACACGCTTTTTACCCTTGCATTTTTAAAAATGACCGCTCCATTAGCGTCTTAGGTGTGTAACATTTATGAGAAATAAATTGAAATTTCAATATTTTCTTTTCAATTTGTAACCGGCGCGGGATAAAGAACTCATAAAATGTAAATAGATGACGCTTTTAACATTTTACGAGTTGTTTATAACTCGGCAATAAACAGTTAGTCACCGAAATATGTTTTGTTTTGGATGTTACTGCACATATAAACAAAAATATGCTGCACATTAAAAAAAATGTTATCAGATTTCTGGTTAGCGTCATCTATCGCCAATTAGGCAAAAACAAACTACCTAAAGAATAAATTAAATGGAGAAGTTTCCCTTTTTTTGTATTACCTAATTATAAAAAATTAAGCAAAATATAACAAAAATATGAAAGAATTATTAAAGTATCTCAACAAATGAAAAAGTTATGAAACTTTAAAGTTGCAGAGTTATAAGAATAATTTCGTGACGTCACACGACCGGAGCGGACGAAATTTTATAAATTAATTTGTCATTTTCATTTATTGATTTATTTCAAAATAAAAATCACTGATTTATTAGTTTTGATCTGTAATAATTTAATTGCGTTAAATATGATATTATCAACATCAGGAAACTTCTCCATTAGGCTAATGTCTTTGTATTCAACAGGGTGTCTGTACCAATATGGTTTTATAACATCTGTGGTTAATGGTAATGGCGATAGAACAATGAACAATTATAATAAAGAGCTATAATCAATTGAATCAATTTGTCAATTCAAATATTGATAATACTATCTTAGATTTACGCGATTTGACATCTATATAAATAAAAATGAATGTTGCTAAGCGCAAAACTCGAGAACGGCTCGATCAATTCAGCTAATTTTTTTTTCATATGTTCCTTATTGGTAATATGAAATATATATGGTACATGGAAAGTTTTAATAAAGAGAAAAAATATAAAATAACGTAAATATATATAAAAGAGTCGTGTTAGTTACACCATTTATAACTTAAGAACGGCTGGACCAATTTTTATATCAGATTTTTTGGATTTCTCTTAGTTACGGAATGTCCGAAAAATTCTCGAAAACCTATTAAATTTTATATGGCTAACGCTGACTAATAACTATTTATTTCTATTTAAAACGTACCTAGCGACGAACCCGAGCGAAGGGAGGGTGAGCCGCTGGTTTTAAATAATACTATCTTTTCGGATTTTTTCGTGATTTATTTTGAATTGTTACAAACAGTATAACGATCTTTGAGACGTCTATAACCTCAGTCTCTCCCGTGACCATGTGCGCTGTAACGCATTCGAAACGTCGGAAACCAAAAATCAAAATAAATCCGCGAAATAATAGTTTTATTTAAAATAAAATATTGATTTTAGGTAGTAGCATTTTTATTTTAATACAAACAAAGTACATAACTAAAAACTGTTTATTGTTATTATAAAGATTTTAACATCACGTTCCTACAGAGCTATAGTCCGTTTGCGTTAAGAAAATAGTGAGTCATCGAGTGCTACGGCAGGTAAAGGTGTATATAAAGCGGGAGTACAAATTCAATATTTAAACTTAATTTTTAAGTTTAATAGATAAAAATCAACTTAATTATCTTACTTATCTCAAATCTTGATTTGATATGATAATAAGTTTATTTTGATTTGAGATATTCAATAAGTTTAATTATCTCAAATCGAAATAAAGTCATCAATAATATATTTAAGTCTGCCTTCAACTGATCATTGTGAACTTGACTTTTATAATTTTAAGCAACCTAATTGGTCGGGGGCTTGGCGAGGCGGCGAGGCTGTGGACAACTCACTATTTTCTTAACGCGAAGTAGATACTCACCCACTGGGCACGCTACCTAATGTGCAATCTATAATTAAAGTAAGGCTGGTGGTGGTGAATGGCAAAATATGTACTAATAAATATATGACTTGATATGTATGTACATATATAAATTGTGATCGATTTTAAATAATAAAGATTCATAGCCATCTTATAAACAAATAGTATTTTACTTAAAATAACGCACTTAATTATATAATAATAAAACTTAATTAAATAAATAACTATAATTAAATAACTGCCTCGGCGGTGTAGTGGCTAGCATGTACGGCTGCACACCCGGAGGTCCTGGGTTCGAGTCCCGAGTCGGGCTAAGTTTAGTTATTGAGTATTTTTGTATATTAAGCCTCAGTAACAGCCCGGAGTTGGGAAGTGCCTCGGCTCTCACGTGTCGCGTCGGTCCTGCGCCGACACTCTCACCGCGAGTGTCTCGCGTCGTCCCGCCGGAGTATGAGAGTGACAGGAACAGAGAGTGCACGTCGTGTCTGCGCTCTCCCTCACACGCGCTGCACTATAATATCTCCTGCGCAGTTGGCTAGTCTCGATGAGATTGGCCGCCGTGGCCGTAATCGGCTAGGAGAATCATCATCATCATAATTAACATAAGTGTAACAATGAAAAATAGTTAGCAACGGCTCAGTTCGGTCGCAACGGCGATACTTATTGTTAAAGTCGCAATCGCTCATACTGTGATATTTATTCGTTAATTGTTAATATTACGTGTATTATATTTATACTAGAGGCTCACCCTTGCTTCGCTCGGGTTGAAAGTAGCCTATTTGTTATTCTAATGTACGAACTATATTATTGTAAAGTTTCCTTAAAATCCAATCAGTAGTTTTTGTGTACTAAGCTGTAGAATTTACTATAGTCTTAACTATCCCACGGGAAATCTTTAATTTTCCGGGTTGAAAAGTATCTAAAATGTTGACCAGGGATATAAGGTACCACCATGCAAAATTTCATTTAAATCGGTCCAACAGTTTCAGAGATTAGCCCGTACAAACAGAAAAATTTGAAAAAAATCTGGATTTGTTCTATTTCTCTTCTTACATCTAGTTTTATTATGATTACTTTTTAATTATATTAATAAAGTTATTTATATAGTATTTACCTACTCGTATTATAGATTTATTAAAGCATTGATATATCTATTTAATATATTACATCTAATATTTACAGCTAGAGAGCTAAAGTTATAAGGCATTTTATCACTGGCGGCGACGCGACGGCGCGGCGTCACCGAGGTCTATACTAATATTATAAATGCGAGCGTTTGTATGATATCGAAGGATCGACTCCACTTTGTCCACAGACAAATACATATAGGCCAAGTGCCCCGAGCTTGCGTCAGCCTCGGACTGAATCCTTGTACGAATTAATGCTAAAAAATAAATATTTCTAAATAATAAGTAATAGGAATATTGGTATTAGTTGATTTTCTCGGCGCCGATGTTGATGGTGACGTCCCCCGCGCCGCCCTCGGCCAGCACGCTCCTGTTGAAGGTGATCGTAATGCGCCCCTCTCCCTCCACTATCCCCTCCCCCGCCTCCCCCTCCAACTCCCCGTCCCCCTCCCCCGCCTCCCCCGCCGCCGCGTAGTGTATCGGGTAGTGCTGCCGCAGCTCCCGCAGCAGGCGGAACTTTGCTCCACACACCGTACATCTGAAAGTAACATGTCCACATTAAAAAAAAACAACCGATAAAGGGCTACTACCTTTAGGGTATCTAGTTGGAAGACAAGGTTAGCAACTGTGGTGCCTCTCTCGGGCTCGTCGCAGCAAAACTCCCTCCCTCCCCAGAAAGCGTTTTGCTCGCTCCGGTCGCTTCCCAACGGACCAATTCGGACAACACACACTCTTTAAATCAACGATTACTTCACGATTTTATATTACGATTACGATACTGCAGTCTTTTACCCAATCAGTGCAATTTTAGCGCCTATGAAAATATAATAGCAATTTTCGGAATTATTAAAAACGATGTCATGTTTTTAATGTGGCCATGACGTCATAACGTCATATCAAACACACGAATATGATAATATTTGAAACACTCATGTTTATTCAATGTTTTAAAATTTAAATATTTTATTTAAAAAATACTTAAAGCATTTTCAAGTTTATTTACATTTAAACGATATTTTTATTTATATATTTTATTTAAATTACATGCACATACAATCATTGAGTTCATTTGTCAAACATACCTACATATGACTTTATTAGCAAATTTGTCTGGTGTCAGTCTAGACAATGCAGGTGTATCTGTAATGTGTAGGTACCTACGAATTCCTTCAGAAGTTCAGACTTAAACCGATTTGAATGAAAACTTGCGAACAACCTTATCATACCCTTCACTTCAAAAAATATAGGTCACTGTGGTGTGCCCTGGCGATGAATGCCACACATCTGATAGGGCTGAAAATTTTTTATATTCAATAAATTACAGAAATCGATAGAACGGGAGGAGCCCCATAGTTTATCGAGCATAATAAAAATGACCTCTAAGAAGGGGTGACATTCACCCCCGGGGAGAAAACACACCTCGGTATCATAACTTTTGAATTTAATCATCGGACTGTACTCTACGTAGTATAAAGTGTGAAGGTCGCGTACGCACGCGTATATGTTCTGGCCGACGTGCACGCGCATGTGCTTGGCGAGGTCGTTGCTCTGCGTGTAGGCGCGCGGGCAGCGCGCGCAGCGGTAGGGCTTCTCGCCCGTGTGCGTGCGCCGGTGCCGCTTTAGGTGGTCCTTGCACGAGAAGCTGGCGACCAAACCGAACAAATGTATAGCACTTACGAAAGAATATGTACATAGATGCTAGTAAAAATGCTATAGCTGTTCTTCTTCTATTATTATTTTTTAGGCTATTGTTTCGTTGAATGCAGACAGATGGTGTTAAAATACAAACTGACAAACTATTTACTTTATAATATGTATGTACTAGGTTATGTAAAATATGGCAAAATTCATTTTTCATTAAAACAAATTTCAGTGACTAACCGTTTTTAACTGCAAAAAATAGTTTGTGATATACTGAGATATCATCATCGACATCCCTACCTACGCACTAGACAGTCATTACGTAATGGTTGATATTTGTATCATCCATTAAAATTTTAGAACACATTGTTTTGTTTCCATTTATATAGAGTGTTTAAAGAACACTACATTTTTGAGACACATTTTAGTTCTTTTACTAACTCTATATAAACATTTACTAGAAATTGATACATGTAACGTCACCCCGTGAGCCACTAGTTTAGTATAATGAAAGTATACTAAACTAGTGGCTGGCATGAAAAAAGTTCTTTTCGAGGTTTCCTAAATGATTTGTCACTTGTGAAGTTACAAAATGTCAATAAGAAACATGAATATTCACAGGACTGACCTCATGTTGCATCCGTCGCATGCAAAAGGTTTGATGCCGAGATGTATGAATTTGTGTTTCTTCAGTGAGCTGGACTTGGTGAAGGACGCCCCGCAGTCGTCGCAGGAGTACGGGTGTACGCCGGTGTGCGTGTCCATGTGGCATTTCATTTGGCCTGCAAATTACAATGGAGTGTCCATAGGATAAGAATTAACATTGCAAAAATTTGGATGGATGGATGTTTGTTACTCCGTTACACCGTGATGGCTTTACAGATCTGGATGAAATTTGACACAGATACAGATTATAGTCTGGAATAGCACATAAGTTACTTTTTATCCCAGAAAAAATGTATAGTTCCCGTGGGATACATTTGTTTTCGTTTTTTACAGTTTTTCTATTCCATACTGTTAAAAATTACCTACTAATAATAATGTAAGAAAATTATTAATATTCTTTTGAAGATACATTTTTGTACACATACTGGAAAGAAACAAGACTTTTCATTAACTTATTTCTCTTGAAAACATCGAATCTAAGATAAAAATTTCTGAAGACTGACCTTTAGTGCAAAAAGTGAGAGGGCACAAGTTGCACGAAAATGGTTTAACTCCTGTATGACGCTTCAAATGTTGCCGTAAATTAGAACTATTTTTGAAACCTCTTCCACATTCAGAGCATAAGAACGGAGTTTCTCCCGTGTGTGTTCTTATGTGATCTTTTAATGAACAAAGTTGCAGAAATGCTAAAAAAATGTAAAATTTAGTTATTTAAATTCACACAATTCTATTTATTCTTAACAAGCTATTTATTTTTAAATTTTATTTAAGTTATATCATATTAGATATATTATGTACATATATTTCAATTAAAAATTGGCACTTTCCTTGTTATTTGGCTGTTTTTATCAACATGAAAAAAAAAACTATTTATGAAAACGAAAAGTTCAAAGTCCTGAATAATAATAACCTTTATCACAATGTTCACAAGCATAAGGTTTGATGCCCCTATGTTTGCGCATATGAGTCACCCAGGCATCGTGTCGGGAATAGGTTTGAGGGCATTCTGTGCATTTATAAGGCTTTTCTTTAGTATGTAATGCAAGATGTCTTTTCAGGGGGCCTTTTTGTGTAAATCCCCTGTTACAGTAATCACATGTAAACAACTTTTTCTTTTTCACTTTTGAATGTTTTTTAAAATGGGATATGAGTGAACGATATTTTTTAAAAATCTGATCACATACTGTACACTTGAACCCCCCTGATTCTTCTTCCTTAATTTTACTTTCACTGATACCATTGTGAAGAAGAACACATTTAACAAACTCCTCCTCCGTCACAAATGTCCGCATGCACTGTAAACACCTGTACAGATCTTTGAAGTCATTGTTCTCCTTAGAGCCAGAGTGCTGCTTTTTGTGCTCTACAAGTAATTTTTTTGAATCAAACTGTATATCGCATTGATTACATTTAAGTAATTCATCTTTTTTATGCTCCTTTAAATGTAAACCTAAGCACTTTTGGTTTTCGAATGTTATAGAACAATCTGTACATTTATACAAATCAGTTATATTTTCTACTTTTACCTTAACATCCGTCTCTTCTATTTCATTATCATTCACATAATTATCACTTAAATCTTTACCCTGATTTGATGTTGGTAAAGCATCTTGTACTGAAAAATTATCTAAATAATTAACATAGTCACATTGACTTTCATTTTTAAAATCAGTTTCACTATTTTCATTCTTAATCACTGCAGATGTCAATATAATTTTTTTAAGTTCACTTTCTGATTTATGTGCTTGCTTCCTAAAAGTATACAATACTTGTAAAGTTTTTTCACATACACTACAAAGGTTTTGCGGGAGACCATCTTTTTCAGCAATCTAAAACATTAATACAAAATTAAATTACAAGAGTATTTTTTTCAAGTTTATCAAGCACTTTGTTATTTTATTTAAATCTTTTTAGTACCTGCAGAGATGTAGCTTGCATTAAAACGTCGGCAAGTTTTAAAGAAGTATTATTTTCCGTTTTGAAAAGATCAAACAAATTTATCAAAGATTTATCATCATTCTTCATACAAGTCCGACAAGTCCTTTGAAAATTAACCATTTTACCTATTACATTTATTACTTACTTTTAAATTACTAGGTAACTCATAGCTATCAGAAAAATTAAGACATTATTTATTTCTTTTTTACTAATGGCTCAAACAATTACAATTGCGTTAACAGACGCAAAACATTTTATCAGCGTCACGTATTTTGAGGATAATACGAATGAGATTACCGCACAGTAAATTTTAACATTTAACAATATAAAATAAAAAAAACTATATGAAGAGGAATAGTTTGTCTACAAGAGAATTACAATTTTTAAATAACATAACTTTGTTACTGTTCTCTAAAAGTTGTAGAAACTAAAGTCTGATTTTTAATTCCAAGGAAACATGACAGCAGTCATTCTTTAACAAATTGACAATTCAGATATCGAAGTGACTATTTGTACGGGTACTGGACGAATAAATTATATTTATTCGTACGGACGTATATTCCATACGGATATTATTATTTTTTTTTTATTATTAAATTTATTACTAATACTTATACTTATTTTTTTTTTAATCGATTTGGTTAGGTTAGTTTAGGTTAGGTTTTTTTTTTTTTTTTTAATCGATTTGGTTAGGTTAGGTTAGTAGTAGTACCCCCCCCCCCCAACGTGCGTTCACCTTGTCGTGGTGGGGGGGCTCAGTAGTGTACTCGCGAAGCCAAGAAACGCACAGGGAGGTGGCCCGTTTTGGTGGGCGGTGGGAGGCGGCCTTCTTCGGAGGGCGGTGTACCATGCGGGTTGCTCCTGGTACTTCTCTGATAGCAGAGTGGACCGTGGAGCAACCCCATGGTTGTTGTGGTCTGCTTCGGCAGACCTGCCGTCGGGGCGTCGTAGTTGAATGCGTAAGCGATCCTGCGACGCCCCATTAAGACGGGGGAAGGTTTTGTTGGGTTTTAGTGGGTAGTACTGGCTTCGCCGGTGAGTCCCACACTTCGTGCGTAAATGCATTTCCCAACGTTAAAAAAAAAAAAGGTTAGTAGTAGTATTTAATAGTATTAAAATCGCAAACATTTACCATTTTTTGGTTTAAATTAAAAATAAATAAAAACGCAATTTTTTTTTTTTTAAATTTCCACTCTAATTGATAAAATAAAATTATTCGTCCGACTTATGTACGAATAATAATAAATTGTTTGTCCAGTACCCGTATTAATAATTGTAAATTTTTCGTACGGTAACCGTATTAATAGACTCGGCCTTCAGATATCATAAACGACGCTAACTATAATGAAAATTTCTAATGGTTAAAAGAATAAAACAGAGTAAAACAAAATATTTTACAAACAAAGGGGTTTTCCTAAAAAAGGCTTACAACCTATGGATTATTGGATAGGGATTCCTGTAATAGAGAAATAATTTCCTTAATAATTATTGTAATTTCAATAATATGATAATAAACATAATAATTACCATTTTAGAGTTATCAATTATTTTTTAAGTCTTAGCTTTTCTGATTAAAACCTTAAATTCAAGAAAGGTTTATTTTTTTATTTTGCTAAAATGCTATCCGTTTTTAGTGACAATGTTTCAAAGTTGACAACACTTCTGAAATGTCAGAATTCCATCGAATTAATAATCAGACTTGATTTTATAATTTGACAAATGACAAATGACAAGTGACTTTAGTTGTTATAAAGCAATGCCATGGAGATAGAAAAATAGAAACTATTAGTATCGAATATCGATTTGATATCAACATGCAAGATTTTTACTTAATTGTTGGATGATGGATCATTATTTAATGTACTTTTTTATCCCGGAAACGGAAATGGTTTACCAAGTAAACCGAAAAATAAAATTAAAGTTCTTTTTCTTTTTACATGATATAATAAATGGGGAAGAATTTTGCCCTTTTCTCCCGCCAGATGCTGCGATCACTTGAATTCTCAGTATATTGTAATGCTCTACCTATAGCGTGGATGGAAATATTTCCAGTTTCTTTAAAATTTAATTTAAATGACAAATCGTCCATTGCCAGGATGCAATGAAATAGATATCATTTGTTCCCAAAAGACAAAAACTGAAGAAATTGTGGGCAAAAGCAATAAGACGACCAAAATTGGCGAAATTACAATTCTTATATTTAAGGCTATGTGGACGTTATTACATAGAAAATGATTTTAAATGTCTTAAATCGTCTATAGGCAACGACTATTTAGCCCGATAGACACCTCACGCAAGGCGAACACTTTCAGACAACACGTTAGGTAAATACGTCTGACTTGAGAAAACGATCGCGTGATTTACTTTAGTAGCGACCACATCCGTGACCCACGAACACATTGCTTGAGACTCGTGAATTTCCGACACAAAAAAAACAACAGACGCGCAACATGGCTCCCTGTACAATAAAATGATATGGAATCAGTAGCCAAACATATAATTTAAAAAAAAATGCATTATTTTCATAGGTAAGTGAATTTTAATTTCCAAATTCATTAAATGTAATTAAATCAGAGCTCAAGTCATATTGGTTGCAACGCAACTCGCGTTGATGTTTTCGGACATTCTCGGACATTCTCGGACTATGCATCCCTTTTTTTTCAATGCAGTTCGTTGTTGCTATACTTTTCTTTATTTACCGGCACGTGAACTAGTGCTGTACCAGTTAAACTATACATTTTTTAGATATAAGTTATTTAATTATTATAAAATGCATGATTGTTAATCTTAATTATAGTAAAAAATTTTATAATGATGATTTTAATTTTACTTCTTAATATTATGCATTATTATCAATTTCTTTTGTATTATGACATTTATCTATAATTATTTTATAGATAAATGTCATAATACAAAAGATCTATATACGATACCTACAAAATATATATCTACAAAATATCTAAATACGATACCTACCTACGATACGATATAAAACTTTTGATTCCCATCACTATTTGTATTGAATTAACCAATTAGAGTGCATTTCAACCCGCCTCCCCGGTAACGCTTACCTCAAACTTTTGACTGACAGGTTTGGGTGCAGAAGTACATGAATTAGGCGTCTATCGGGCTAAGTAGTCGTTGTCTATAGGTGACTTTTTTTATTTTATACTTTTTACATATTAATTACAGGGTTTTATACAAAATTTCATCGCCAATTTTATCCCCTTAAAGAATTGAATTTCAAAAAATGCTTAAACACGTGTTTATTTAATTGTTTGGAGAGCATTATTACTAAGTTTCAAATAATCCTGATCATAAATAAATCTTTGTCCATATAAACTTTATTACTCCCTTTTACTCCTTTAATTTTGAAAAAAATCAAATATGATATTATATATTTTTTAAAGCTAAACACCACATTCTGTGTATTTCACATTAAGAATGACAGTGTTTTACACAGCCTGTAATCCCCTATTTTACCCACTCCGGGAATGAATTTTATTATTGGATACCTACACCATTTAAGGAATACGTCCTCCAAATTTTACGTTTCTACGACCAGCGGTTTTGGCTGTGTGTTGATCCATTAGTCAGGACCACCACAGGATGCACCTCTCCTTCTCAATTCTTCCTTCAGCTGGTTGGAAAACATTAGAAGCAAAAACCAGGTACAACAGAGATATCATAATAAATTACTTAATCTCAGACTGAATAAAAATAGATCATACGTGTAGCGTCCTCCTTTCAAGAAATTTTCCCCATTGTCTCTTCAAAGAGCTGCATGTGGCTGGCGATCCGCGGTTACTCAAATACATAAATATATGTTTGTATGTATCCAGCCCTTCAATACGAGGTCGAGGGGTCAGGCCATAATCCTAAATCCACCACGCTAGTCAAGTGTGCGTTGGCGGACTTCACATGTCTTTTGAAAACTTGTTAGGTTCTCTCATACATGCAGGTTTCTTCACGATGTTTTTCTTGACCGTTAAGACATAATGGTAATCATGTTGAAAATGATTGGCACATGAAAATATTAGAAGGGCGAGACCCGGGATTTGAACCCGTTTCACAGTTCACTCTGTTTCCCAAGCGAGCGCGTTGACACTGGGCTACCACTGCCTAAATATATGTTTATAATCTGTGAATCAAACCTAAAATTTTTAGAACCCAAAGCCATACTTTATTCTGTTCTTTATCCATGGATCTTTATCATATTCATTAAAAATCAGTTTTGACTTTTGAGTTTTGATTAAAAAAAAGTTCCGGAAAAATTACAGCAAAGTAAACTTTACGCGTAAAATTTAATATAGAACATATGTATACTCTATAGTGCTAAAAGTTATTTTTATAGTTGACTTGAACTGTAGTTTACTTCTATTTTTAATGTCTAATAATAGATTTAATGTAACTTATTGATAAAACTAATATGGATGATTTAGTTTTTATTGGTGATTGGATAAAGGACAGAGTTTTGGGATCCGGAAGTTTTGGCATTGTTGTACTTTGGAGACATAAAAATAATGAAGAGAAACTTGCAATCAAGACATGTAAGTGGAGCAATGAGCTCACTGCTAAACATAGGGAGAGATGGACAAAAGAAGTAGAAATGTTACAAACTTGCAACCATCCGAGTATAGTGGGAACAAAAGAATTACCACCAGAATTTTTGACGGGACTAGCTCGCGCAAATCCGTCAAGGCTACCTATTTTATGTATGGAGTATTGTAGTGGTGGTGATCTAAGGCAATTATTAAATAAAGCCAACTCATGCTGTGGATTAAAAGAAACACAAGTTCGCAAAATACTCAAAGACATTGGTAGTGCTATGCGATTCTTACATAGTAATAAAATTACTCATCGCGACCTTAAGCCTGAAAATATTGTTGTGGATGTGAAACCTGCCACTAACATAGGTGCTGATCAAAATCCAACTCTCAACATTGAATCATATAAAATTATTGATCTCGGCTATGCCAAAGAAATTGATTCAAATTCTATCTGTGCTAGTTTTGTGGGTACTCTTCAATATTTAGCACCTGAATTATTTTACAGCAAAACTTATAGTAATTCAGTAGATTTTTGGTCATTTGGATTATTAGCTTTTGAAATAATTTGTGGAGTCAGACCATTTTTACCATTTAAAGCCCCTGTTGAATGGATGCCATTTGTTAAAAAAAAGTCACATGATAATATATGTGTTCATGAAACATTTCATGGTGACGTCAATTATTCAAATGAGATTTTTCCAGAAAATCATATATCAAAACCTTTGAAAGCTCTTATTGAAGAATGGTTAAAAGTAGCCTTGGAATGGGATCCTAAATTAAGAGGGAGAGATTCTCCTTCTAAAGTAACATTTGATATTCCATCAGAAGGAAGAAATACCTATGTAGGAAGTAATGTGATTATTTTTAGTTCACTTGAACAAATTCTTTCAAAAAAGATAATAAAAATATTTTGTGTCACTACTATGTCACATATGGCCTATGAGATTTACAATACAACACAAATTAAAGATATAAAATTATGGATTTATGAGGAGATGAAATTTCCAGCTGAAGATCAGATAATAATATCACAAAGTTCTTATATTAATCTAAACAATGAAGAAATAGTTATGAATTATTTTGATGAAAATAAGGCAGTTATGCTATATCTTTATAATAAGAAGAAAATGCTAGATGACTCTGTACCACCGACAGTTCCAAAAGCGGTCCAAAGAATTTTAGAAAATCCCAAAACATTGTTCAATTATAGAAATAGCCAGAATCTTTACAAGAGTGCTTTCTACTTTATTATATCACAAATGGAAATATATGAAGCTTTTATTAATGGTATCATATTTAGTGCTGAGTCACTAAAACAAGAAAGCAAACAACTATTAATAAAGTATAATAATGTGGACAAAGATATAGGTAAACTACTTGGGCAGGTTGAGATATTAACAAATATGACCAAACTGGGGAAAAGTCACATTGACTCTTTGAAAGAGAATGATATAGGTACAAATGTTTTAGGTGGTTTTGGGAAAATATTTAAAGATGCTGATAACTTACTTGAAGAAACACAGAAACTACAAAATGCCTGGTCACAGATGTCAGTGAGACTACAATCAGCTGCAAGAAGAAGTAATGAAGACATTTCTGCTTATGTAAAAGCATTCCTAGGCAAATATAACTATCAAAATATATTTATAGAAGCTCATAAAACTTTTGTCTCTTATAATAAGAGTGACTTCTATAATGGCAACAGAGAAAAAGAAAGATATTGTTCAGACATTATGAAACTTTGTTACAATTGCCTAAAACTCAGAAGTTCAATTTTACAAGAACTACAACATCAGCCTTTTATTATTAAATTTAAAGACTTAAACACTGAATTTGATAAAATTTCAGACATAATTACTCATGCAACGGACCATACAGAAAGGCTTGGGAACAACTTGTCTGCTTTGATACATGAATTCTCCAATTGCATTTGGTCTACGATTAGTGTTGTGGTGCGAGAAGCAGACAATGTGTCGGACCTTCCTTACAGTGTAGTATCATTTCAAAAGCGAGACTTTAAAATCGGGGAAGCAGTTTCAAGCCATTGTATTCCTGTTAACACAGTAGAAGATGAATCTGTAAAATCACTTATATCTGAAAGCCTCAAACTAAGACAAAACCATACAAGTTTATGTGAAAAATTAAAGTCACAAAAGATATATTTGCAACAAACTATCTGTGATTTTAGCTTTTTAAATAATGATTAATAACAACCATTTGTTATGAATCATTATTATATTATGTTAGTTAACAAATGTATGTTATGTTTAATGTTTACTAATTTTTATTTTATACAGAGTTTATTAATTTTAGATAGTATCTACTTTATAGTTGAATATTGAATAGTGTAGAGAGTCCAAAATATACAAGTAATTACTGGAGGCTATATTGTAATGTGCAATATTTATCCCTAACTTATGTGCCTTATTGAGAATTTCATGGAAGTCACAACTTTTGTGTGACAGTTAAATAATTATGTAATTCAAATATTACTTATACCTATATCAATTTAAATGTTTTTCAGTCTAGTCGTTTAAAAAATAAAGCATCTAAATATTTTCATACATCTAATTATTCTATAAATAAATTTCTTATACATATAAAAGAAGTTTTATTTTATATTTCAAATACATTTAATCTTAGAAAATAAGCTATACCGTAAATTCAAAATATATAGACTACTAGCAGAACCAGTGGCTTCATTCGCGCTAAAACTACAAAAAAATATCTAAAAAGATAGGTTTCATACAAACTATATTGAAGAGCATTCATACAAAATTTCAAGTAGTTCTGATCATAAATATTTTTTTGGATTGTATTATAACATTTTCCCGTGGGAATGAGATAATCTCCCGCAGTAAAAAGTAGCCTATGTCACTCTAGCATTCTTAACTATCTCCACATAAAAAATTACGCCAGTCTGTCACTCTGTTTTGACGTGAAAGGACAAACAAACAAACACACTCACATTTATAATATTAGTAGGTATGGATTCAATAATTATAAGATGGAGCAACCAATGAATTGTTCAAGCCAAGTAATAAATTTTTTCATAACTTTATCAAATTTCTTAATATCTGCAGGTGTTTCGAGACACTCTTCAGGGGCGATTCGTTGTTCCGGCATACCACTGATATGTAACCAAATGGCAAATATGGCATCTTGTACGCTCGCGACGCTCCTGCGACACAACCTGGCGCACGTCGCACAGGATGTCACTAAAGCTCCTAAACTCCCGATCGTCACAGCCATAGGGCTCTTGCGCGCCGCGAGAAAATAGTTGTGCAACAGCATTTCTGTCTCCTCTGTCAAACTAACACGAATACCAGCAATTACATTTATATAAATTGACACATCTCTAAGAGATTGAATTTCTTCTTTAATGGTACCTGGTGGGTTTACAGCATTTTCCAAATTATTATCAGCTACTTCATTAACCCATTCACCGTAGTCTCCTCGACAAATATTTCCAAATACACTACCAATGTTACTTATTATCATTTTTTTGAAATCCATGCCCTGAGCCCAAATAGCACAACGTAATTTAGCTATATGGGGACCTTGCGAAATTTCACCACTTTCTATTATAGATAAAATTGAATGAATTTGTTTTCGGCTATAATTCTGTAAAGGTGAGGGAAGGAGACACACTCCACCTGATGATGCTATTAAAGCTGATGTTACCGCGTTCTGGGACATCCCCAAAAGTGTATACGAATCTGCTAAAGTAGCAGCTTGTGTCATGAGCCGCCCCGCGTAACCAGTGTCTAGCCCACCAACTAGAATGTGTAGAATTGGCGAATTTGATTCAAAATGAGCCTTAATGCTCGTTAGACTTAACAAAATATTTATTTTCACATTCATAAAGCAATTTAATGGGCAGGTGTGTACTCCGAAGCTTGATGCGAGGCAGTATATAAATTTCCACGGTACACCGTAGCAAGAGTCATACAAGCTTTTTATGTCGGGTGAAATAGGTGAAGTTATTGGAGCTGGAAGTGGAAGAACTTCTTCTATGGACCAAATGGCTATATATTTTTTTAAAATGATTGCATGCATAAAGTATTTACCTCCGAGCTTTAATTTTTTAATGAGGTCATCAACGATGGTAAATGTTTTTGATAGTAAGTCATATTTAAATTTGAAAGTGGCTCGCACTTGATCGCCACATCGTCTTAGACCGCTGTTCTCAAAAAGGACCCTTTTACATAAGCAGCACTTAGGAGGAATTTTTGGTATATATTGTAAGATAACTTCATTTCCATCACATTCATCAGGACATGACCAAACCGAATGATAGACGTAATTTGTAGGTTTCGTTATCTCAACAAGTAATCCTTGCAAAAGTGTCACGCCTTTGTAATTTTTTCGATTAGGATTACAAAAAACACTCGGAAAACTCGTAAGTCTAATATTAACATTGACTTGGGTCGATTGCACATATTGTATCATATCATTGTCTAATGATTTTAGACATGCGTACAGAATTTCATTGCAGTGTCGCTGCCAATTGAGCGGTTCTTTTACAAAATAATCCCCTAGCTCTGGAAATGTCTCAATCAAATTCATAACATCAACTTCCAGTAAATATCTTAGAGGTGGGAATTTACTCACTGATTTCTCATTTAATTGGTCAACGAAATATTCACAAGCAGTCTTCATGTCATATAAAATGCGCCTTTTCTCTAAATATAGCAATAAATTTAGCTTCATCTCCATTTTCCTTATTTTAATGGCGGGATTCACACTTCTTGATGTTGATAAATAAAAAAATATTATTATTTATAAAAGTATTTAAAAATAGAAACCGGGTTCCCGCGTTATCTAAACTAATGACTTAGGACTGAACTTATACAGCCATAGCCCATAATTAAACATCACTATGAATTATCAAGTATTTATGAATGTGGATTGATTGGATTGGATGTCTTTTTGGTTTTTTTTTTACAAAATATACAACACACAGGTATAGATTATAGACTAATTTCAAAATCCCATGTAGTAAGTAAATATTTTTTTATACATAGGTATACATATGTAGACATGCTTGTTGCTTATCCAACTAATATTATAAAATATGCGAAAGTTTGCTTGTTTGTTTGTTTGTTTGTTTGTTTGTTTGTTTCACGTCAAAACAGAGTGACGGGTTGGCGCGATTTTTTGTGTGGAGATAGTTGGAGGGCTGGAGAGTGACATAAGCTACTTTTTACAGAGGGAGATTGCCTCATTCTCACGGGAAAAGACGTTACAATAAAACCCAGAATTAATTGAAATTTGGTTTTAACGCTCTTGAATATAATTAAATAATTACGTGTTTTAGCATTTTTCGAAATTCATTCCTTAAGGGAGTAAAATATGGACTAAAGTTTGTACGAAACCTACGTTTTAGAGGTTTTTTTTGTAGTTTTAGCGCGAGCTAAGCCGCGGGTTCTGCTAATTATGTAATAAGCCTGTTTGTGATTTAAAGTATTTTTAATTTTAATATTCTAATTTGGCATCATATTTTACAGAATAAAACATATACTATAGCCAATACTGAAGCAAAAATTTTGCATATTTCATGTACCTCGGAAACGACTAACGATTTGGATCAAATTTTGTATTTAGTTAAGGATTTGGCTTTAAAAATTTATAATAGGTGTCTTTCTGTAAAACACGCAATTTTTATATCGTTTGAGAAAAACGCCGAGCGAAGTTCGGTCGCCAAGGTTTTAATATTATAATATTACGTAGATAAAGTAGGTATCTAAATATGTTCATTTGCGGCAGTAAATGTTAGTAGGCCTCGTCTAGACCTACGCGAGATGACTTAATGTAATTGCCCACGCACTGTTTGTAATGTGTTCTCTTTCAAGGTCAACTAATAATTAGCTAATATTTGAGAGTTTAGAACGGAAATGCCGAAACCAATATGCAAATGCCATCAAGCGATCACTAGTAGAGCTTAGCGCCTTGTTCATTCATTGTGACCGAGTATACTCGTGCAGTTAACACTTACACATATTATGTATTTGAAATTATGTTGGTTTAAATATTACCTCTATTAATTATATTTGTAATAAGTTGATTATTATGAGTTTATTTGCGTTATTATAAATATATTTACTTCAAAGATATTTAATTTTATTTGGTTAGTACCTATTAAGCATATTAACCTATCACTTCTTCTAGCCTTTCCCCATCTTTATTTGGGTATCAAGTATTATTGTTGCTGTAGATCAACAAGTATTGTTGATTGAAGAAAATACTATATAATATATTATTATTTCTATTAATATCATTTTTTATAGATGTCGAAAATACGGAATACTTACTTCTACAAGTGGAAACGCACCATAGCAATCTTGTACAGAATCATTGCAATTTATCTTCTTAATCTTTATAAGTACTTATCGATATCTCGTGTTAAAAGTGTAACGAGATAAATTGATAATAAACGATAAGAGAAATGTTGCGAAAGATGAAGGCACTAACCATGGTTTTAGAAATAAACACGCAAAGGATGTCTTCGTATTAAGAGATGAGAATGTTCTATATTAAACAGAAGCCTAAGCACATAATGCACTTTATATTGTTGACGACGGCCCACATTCATTTACACTTGTAGACACTTGTAGGTCGTCATCATTACATACTATTAAATTATTTCTTCTTAAAGTATCATAAAGAATTATATACATATTTCTACAAAAATTAAAATCAATCCTAAGGAAAATCGAAAGAAAAATAAATAACAAATAATTTATTTAATCAAGTAATTCTATAAGTTTAATTACTATTTGTATTTAAATAAAAAATATATACATATCATACTTATAATATGTACCAACTACAAATTATATATTATTTTCCTTATTATTAATCATTTATTACACATTTCTAAGTAATAAGTTAATAATAATTTGTATTGAGACCCTTACCCTATCGCCATAGTAGATTTCGCAATATCTCAAAATTACTACTAGTTTTGGTCACGAGTATACGTGAACGGAGCGGGGCAAGTGGGCGGAGTGAACGTATTTTTTAAGAAGTATTCGTGCGCGGGCGTCGCGTCGCCGCGTGGGGCGCGCATTCGATGCCCGATCACGACAAGTACCAGCTGCGTCCGCGCGCTGCGCGCTCGCGCGAGCCGCGGGCCAAGCGCGAGCCGCAGCCGCTCAGCAAGTACCGCCGGAAGACGGCCAACGCACGCGAGAGGAGTCGCATGCGGGAGATAAACCGGGCCTTCGAGGCGCTGCGCCGGGCGGTGCCGGCGGCTGAGATCACAGGCACGCCGGTGCCATGCGAGAAGCTCACCAAGATCACCACACTGCGCCTGGCGATGCGCTACATCACGGCACTCTCGACCGCACTGAGGGCGCCCAGCCCTCGAGAGGGCGCGGAAGGCGCGGAGGGCGGGCGGCCGGAGCGCTGGCCCTCGCCGCTGTGCTCGGAACTGTCCGAGTTCTCCACGGAGCAGGAGACCACGTCGGAGTTCGCGGAGGACTCTCTCTCGCCCTTCGACTCCTTCTTCGCGGAGTTCGACTACGAGTACGTTGACAGGACATTTACGTGACAGTGAAGTGTTGGACTGATCAATTAGGTATTCCTCAATTCTCATTATGCCATATTAATTATATTAATTAATTTTATTTTATGGATAGTTTATTGTGTGAGGTTTATGAGATTTTATTTATTTCGTTCTATTAATAAATTGTTTTTGTTGTATGACATGATTTTTTTATGTTTCGTCTTATACTAAAATCATCGGAAAAAATTATATTTTACTCAATACTTTGTACAATATTAGTTAAATAAAAAGTATGTTTAGTGCAGAAATATATATGTAAGTATCTCCTATAATATGTTTAAGTAGGTATGTATTTGCGATTACTTTGCGATTCTACATATCTGCATCGTATGGAACTTATGTATGTGTATTGTGTACGATAATAACTAATTACTTTTCTAACCAATTTTTTAACCATAGGAGAGTTCATACTTCATAGTTTATTTTAATCAGAACATATCCATCGTGTCGTATACGAGTAAACAGTACCTACGCGTGTCTATAATAATGTACTATTATAATAGAGATAATAAAAATTAAAACAAAAACTATACTGAATTAAACGCACACAATTTTGTTCTTATGCCAATAATGTTGATTACATTGTTTATCACTTAAACGATTTGCGGAAGACTATACTATTTAGTGTACTAATTAATATACTTCGTAGAAGTTTGTACAAACATAGTTTGCAAAAAAATATTATCTTTTAGTTCTCATTCATATTAAATAGTAATAAAAATCGTAAGGTCATTTTTCACCACTCAACACATCGAATAAACAAACTTCGATATCGCAGTGGCTGCAAGTTTGCGAAGCTTCAAGCGTAGGGGTGGCGTGAGAGTGACATATTATTTGTTTAACATCCATTTTCAAAAGTATACAAACATTACATAACAATTTTAATTATTTTTTCAAAATGATCAAAGGTCACCGCAGTATAAAGACCAATGGCTGATCAATGACAGCCTTTTATAGCTCCAGAGCCAGCGATGATTAAATCAGTATTTTGAATACTTTTTTTAATTGAACAGTAAAAGGTATTTTAGAGCTAAATAAAGTATTATACCGTTTTTAACAGTATGGTTGGTAACCCTAAACCTAACAGCTAAACCTAAGAGCTATTTTTCTAATTTTCATAAACTTTTTGAGTGCAGAAAAAAATAAGAAAAGTATTTATTTGAAAAAGGCCCTTAAACATTTACAGTAGTCTGTACTCTGTAGAGTGGCCAGTGAAGTACTTGGTAAGTACCAGATAAAGTAAGAAGTAAGCTTTAAGTAGTACATTATCGAAATTAGCATTGCTCAATAGTCAGTGATGCGAATCAAGAAGTAAATAAGGAAGCGTGGGCCCGCACGGTCCCACCTGGAAACACGCGTCACGGAAGATAAAACCTTGTCGTAATAAGCGTGCCCACGCGATCTCTCATTGTTAGGCATCATAGATTAATATGAGTTTTGATATCACATCATTCACCTATTGTACTTCTTACGAGATGGAATAAGAAAATATAGAGTACCTACATTAGTTTTACAAAAGCATGTTCTTGCATTTGCGTATAAAATATAATATATTTTTTTATGTAATATGTTATAAAATGAAGATTTATTAGTTCTCCTTATCAAGGTGATGAATTTCTAACAGATATAACAAACTTAGGTAGACGAGTTAAGAAAAAAACATATAAATATCTTTACTGGAACTATCTTGTAGGCTGTAGGACATGGGATCCTTCGAGCCTCCAACGTGTTTCAATGATTGGATAGTGTTCATTTTACTTCATTTGACTTCAACTTGAAGGGGAATGCCTTGGGAAGCACACACTCGTAGAGCTTATCAGTCCTGAGTCTGCATCTCCGGTAGTAGCGAAGTGCTTCCCATTGGAATCGGAAAACACTCCCGCACTTTAATATCTGCGGCGCAGATAATTAGTCTTATTGAAATATCAAATTCTTGGTGGCCATAAATCAGCTGACAGGACACAAACTTACTTAACTACTGTACATAAAATTAGACCTAAGGAAAAAATAAAAATAATCTTAAGCAACATTGTATATTGTTGTACACCTTGGTAATCAAATAATTTCTACAAATTAATTATTCAATATATTTTTGACCTATATCCATAGGTCCTACTTCTTGTGAGGCACATAGAGACAAAATCTTATTTACTTATCCCATTTAATTACTAGGGCGTACAACATCTCATACTTTAAAACGTGTTGCACATAAAAACTGCATTTAACTTTCCTTAGAAGCTTCGCTTTAAATTACGAAATCTTGAAGAAATTAATAAAGTAATTTACGGTTTATGTTTCCTACGCGAAAAGGTTATCGTGCACATCTGACTTTATGTATTGTTTTATTGAATTTGTATATTACTAAACCGGTTCTGACAAAGTTTGTATAACAAGAAACAATGTATGGCTTGTAAGTAAGGAGTATAAAAATGTTACTTGATATTAAATTATGTAATGGATTATCATTTTTATAATTCATATTTATTTATGCATATTGATATATACACATATATGTAATTCGAATTTTTCAACTACAGCAACGTTCCGCACTTTGAAAAGTACTGCTTTGGCGTGATGCGCGCAACGGGTAGCAGTAAATATAAGAATTGTCTTTTCGCGTTGTTCGTGTTTGTGCGCCAAAGTTCGGCTTTATGCTCTGCAATTGGAAAACAGGGATAGTACCTAGTAGCAAAGTAAGAAGAAAGTATTGTAATCAAATATTCGCTTAACTGGGGCCAATTTTTATATGAAGTCTGACAAACTAAATTCGCTTTTATTAGTAACATTAAAAACCAGGGTCTAAAATCCAAATCTAACGTATTGGACTTGGCAAATCAAAAAAAAACTTAGCCTAACCCCAAGTATTTGCTATTAGCTGTTGAAGAGTTCCACTTCTGGCCTTACCATCAGATCAGGTCGATAATACCGAATCACTGCAAATCAAAATATACTTTATTGAAATAGACTTTTACAAGCACTTTTAAACTGTCAATTTTAATGTTCAAAATTTAAATTAAATATCAGTATGTACGTCCGTGAGGAATCTACCACCGACTCGGAAGGCTGTTCTGCTGAGAAGAGCTGACGAGAAACTCAACAGTTCCTCAACAGTATCAATGGAAATAGAAACACTCCCAAAGTTGTTTAAAGTCAATATAACAATTAGAAGTATTTTATTTATTTATTTATAGGTTAAATTTTTATTAACTATTTTTACACCCTTAAGAGTTGTACTTTTTTTTTCAAATTTAATAGAAGTAGGTATACACTTTCCTCCTTCCTCCGAGAATCTCCTTCTTTTTTGAAGTCAGTTGAAAAATGCAAATCTTATGCAACGATCGTATCGTGCAATAAAGATCCAAGTATCCCATTGCCCGTTTTGGCTTAAGCGGATTGCTTTCCCGCCAAATACGGCGGCCATGACAGTTCATTGAATTATGCGATTAAATGACAAGACATATGAGTTACTTGCCATTTTTTTAAATATTTTTTCGGCGATGACAGTTATGTCGACGGCTGTCCGCCAAGTGATTAAAGAATATTGTCTTTATTTGTTTAAATATTGCATATTATAATAAGAATAGAGATTAATATTTTGTATGTATTTGTTAATTAATTAATTTATGTAAATATAATTTATATATGTATATAATTTAAAATTAAAATATGTATTAAAAGATACTATGAGTTAATAATTAATTTATACTAATAAATGGAGAATACTCATACCATAAGATGCAGCGTGTTTCGGAGAAGATTTTAGTACCTATACGATATGTTTGTGATTAATGTACTATGCGGGCGGAGCCGCAGGAAAACGCTAGTTGATATATAATTGATCAATCAACAATTTTAAAGTTATGTAGACCTTAGAATACATACTCAAAAACTATAAAAAAATGTATTATGCTTTCTTATCTCTAGTACCTACAGCATGTAGATATGTACTATTTTATAAGGGATTCATGTGAAAGTCTCACCATCAGTTCGGAATAAAACTCCGCACTTCTGAGAAGAACAGCGGGTTTAAAGATATATTTTTTATTTATTTTTTTAAATATATATTTTAAAAAGTTGAAGGACGATCTTATCATTTCCAAGGTGTGCTAATTTCTAGAAAGTCTTCTATCGCGTAATATTCATCTTAACAAACAAATATTTTTTACATTTTTTCATCTATTAATTATTTTGGATTTTTATGGGATTCTATTGTATAAAAGTTTAAATTGTCGGTAAAAATACACTTCTGTGTTAGCGAGTGACATGTAGGTAGGTATTATAAGTAGTTTGTTTGCTACTGGTATTAATATTAAGTGTTAAAGTGTGTCACACTTCTTGGGGGAATCATTAATATTTTAGCGAAAATACCACATTATTCGCAAAAGTACTGAGAATCTACAGTCAATATTTTATTATACCGACTATTTTATTCTTTTAAAGGTACTCTGGAGCCAAGTAGCTTAAATATAGTAAGTACTGTGCGTGCCGGATCTACATCTGTATCAGTCTAAGTTTTGTTTAAACTTTAAAGTGACCCTAAGGTAACCCTGAGGTCACTTTCTTACTTATAATATTTATTAATAAAATAATATAAATTAGGAAAAGCACGCCGTAGCACGTCTCAAGCGGGCAAGTAAATAAGTTTTAATTAGTACCTATTACCTAAGTAATTCCAAATAATACCTACCACAATTTCCTCTAAAAGGTATTATTAAACATTTTATTGTAAGTGCAGCTTATTTTATCTGTCGAGGACAATGAGCTCATAAATTTTAAACAATACATACAATGTAAAATTAAGAAATATACAGAACATAAGAGTATATAAAAAAATTAAAACATTATTTACTGAAAACATTTTTTATTATTGTTAATATAATAGGTATTACATATTATATAGGTCAGTATTCATACAGTCAAGCACAGCTACATAATTTACTAGCTACAACATTAAAACCTGAAGGAATATATCTATTTATATT